CATTTCGTCTACCGTTTGCAGCTTGAACTTCATGGAATGTGTGTTGATTCATCGTAGAATGTGAAGGCAACGAGTTTAATTTTATGTACGCCAGAAGTGAAAGGATATTGCAGTTACATCCGTCTAACCGGATACGTTCAGAACCCTGGTTCAGTCAGACTTATCATGAATAGTCCGCTGTGCATGTATTCCTTCTTGTTTTTTCTATGGCCTGTTTCCTGAGTCATCTTCTAGAAACTTCCTGAAAGGTCAATTGTTTCCTACCTACCACAGAGGTAAATGTGATTTGACTCGAATTATTTTGCTCAAATGTAAAATAGACTTTAACAACGGTTTGTAACGAGATCATTCTGCACTGACATCGACTACCGTACTCAAGCAAATAAATTTACCCACTACTTAGCATAGGGCTGAATATTTAAAATATTTGTCATTCCTAAATCCGGCGAATCTGAATTCCTACTTAGGGCTATTGCATAAACGTTGTGCTGGTAATCGATTTCTAAATGAATCGTCGAATAATTATTAACCAATTGACTTGGGCATGAACCGAGTGCTAATTTTACTGTCAAACATGATTGGATAATCTTTGAATCGCTCCGTGTAAACAATTTTGCCAAGGACAGAAATAAATGAGTAAGTTTAAGAAGCATGAGGCCTTGATGGCAATGGTTTATGATCAATCTTGGCATTGCTTTCCAATTAGTCCAAAAATGAACGACAAATGCGTCTTCTCTCGCTTCTCTTTGCCGCGTCATTGCGAGTGGAAATCATCAGCTAAAAATCTCCCCGGGCGAATCCAAGATGATTTAGCAGACGATGGTTCAGGAAAATGATTAGACTGTTTCAGCTTAGAGACGCTCGTGACGGTTCTAGGGCGACCATTGGTGCCACGTCATTAGACAGCAAGAAACTTTTCCTGTTCACTGCGGAATTTCGCCTGATTGTCAAGGTAGTTCGCGCGGCGGCCTTCGTCGTCTTCAGCGAGCTCCTTAAGTGCCAGAACAGGTGCCACAGGACGAGTGTGAAGCACCAGTTGACGCTGAGACCCATGTAGTAGATGACAGTCAGGTAGAAAAGTCGCGACGACAGCTGATTGATCAGCATGGACAGGGTCTTCGGGAGAGTGGCCAGCGCCAAGATCACTAATCCCAACGCGTAAATGCTCTGCATGAACAACGCCGGACGCATGAGCAGGGTGCACGGTCGCCGGCAGCAGCACACATTGACGAGCAGAGCCAACGAGACGGTGTGGAAAAAGCACCAGGTGAAGCGCAGGTAGCCACCGTCAAGGTAGTTCGCGATGCACTGGTCAGTGCCGAGCAGCAGGTGGAAGAAGCCGTAGTCAAAGACGATGATGTCGAAGGACAGGAAGCAGGTTCGGTCGTCCAGGGCAACGGTCGAGTTATACGCGTAGGCGCACCGGAACACCGTCCGGTACCTGACCACCGACAAGAAGTGCTGACAAAGCGACGAGACGGTGATCAGCAGCTGGACGATGGCCAGTGCCAGGGTCAGCTGCCGGTTTGGAACCAAGCACCGGCCGGCGTGCGTGTACTGGTCGTTGATTACCAGGCATTTGCTGCACAGACGCATGTCGTCCTCGCAGTCACCACACCGATACCGCGAAGACTAACGTCCGTCGTTCAACAACCGTCCACCACAGTGGCTGGATGGCGCGAAAGTGCCACGTGGCACGTGTACATCACGTCGCTTTGCATCGTGTCATGAACGCAGAAAAATTCACAGAAAAAACAACGACTTTAAATCGATGATCGCCAGCGACGGTGCGAACAACAGGTTAACTCATCTAACTGAACCTCAGCGTTTGGCGACTCTTCCGATGGCCCACCTGAACTCCAAAGTTGCATCGCTTAGTGCCGGCAACGTCACTCCGTCTGGTCGATGTAGAAATTCTTTCACTCTCTTCAGCGTTTGGTCGGTCAAACGTACATAAATGGCCGACAGCTACGAAAGTTCCATCCAATGGTAACTTGATCATTAGTCACATAATATACATCCATAACTTTTTTAATAGTTGGAATGGATGAAGCAATTAAGCACGATTGGAATGGAACATATTTGTGAATGAACATAGACGACTAAAAGTTTCATTTGTTGTCATCATAAAGTGATTGTCATTCGGATCGTGCACTCATCATGTAGATGTCATTAGACTTCACTTTCGCGATTGGAGTTCGTCAGTGTTTATGGATTTTTAAGTCCGTCATTGAACGCTGCAAATCATTTTTTGCCGCTGATGTTGCTCATCGGTATTCATGATTGAAGTTTTGCAAGTGATTGCGTACTATTGGCTATATAAGGTATATAAACCGTTCAACACATTCCGTACAATATTCAAATGTGTTTTTTATATGAATAATTAAATGTGGCGATATTACGCGTAATCATGAAATACTTGAAATCGCTGTTAGAATTTGCGCAAATTCTTAACCAAGGTATAATAGTCCGTGTTGTTGGCTCCTCTGACTCCTTTGCATCTACGAAGCAGTAGCAATTGCGAAAAAGAATACGAAGGATGGCTGCCCCTAGGTCGTGCTTGGATCCTCATTTTCCTGAACGCCGTGAAACGAGGCTGTGAACCATTGATCATTTGTTCTATCTGCTTCTTTCACAGTAGTAGCCTCCAGCATGGTTTTGAACGACCAACGGACGTAACTTAAGCAGATTAATACAAGAAATTAATCGATTTAGTCATTCGTACTCCTGAGGGTCTGGAGTGTTGCAGTAGCGCCGATAACTTCAGAGTGGTGGCGTTGCTCGCCATTCTCTAACGATATCTGTCGTGACGAAAATCTCACAAAATTTTTTACTCCTGTCAGTTGGTGAGTTAAACGAAGGTCAAGGTAAGACAATGAGACATCACGTTACACATTCAGTCAGCTTCGATGGCCGCTACTATTTCGTGCTGCCGAGGCAACAGCGTCAGACAGTGTCTCCTACGTTTTCAATTCTGCGTCAGCGCCTCAGCTTCAGCATAAAAGAACCTGAGTCTAGAGCATGGTCCCTCTAGGCACTTGCCCTGGACATTCGTTGGCCGTTGCCGGGGTCTTACGCCGGTAGTAGCTGCTAGCCTTCCTTTCTGGAAGTATTCCTAACTTGCGCACAAACCATCGCAGATGTGAACTTTCAGTCTGAAGAACCGTCAAACGTATGCAAATGTTTTTTTCTACCATTTGACACGTGGAGCTTATCTGAGACGTTTAAACTCGTTTTTCAGTCGTGGCCTGAAACTCATGATCAAAGGTGGGCATAGAGATGGAAATCGATTTCAACACAGAAAGCTCCGTCTTCGGATGGTTCACGAGCACTTCGCTGGCAATTCAAATTCCCTTGTCCATCTGCCCGTCCCATTTTTCATTGCCAATAAACACTGTCTCGAGGCGTAAACTTTTCCATATGTTCCACAGCTCGCTGGTTCATCTACAGAGGCACAAGGAGCACGGGAAAGAGAAGCACAAGGCTTTTGGTTTTAGATACATCTACAGTCGAATTCGACTGCGAAAATTTCCATAGGGTGTTCGACATCATTTTCGGAAGATCTTTTGCAAACAACAGACTTCTGGCCATTGCATCTTTGATACTATTTGAGTCTGACTATTCTATCCACGTACAACACAGACGAGAGAGAACAGAACCCATGGCTTGGCGGTGGCTTGCCAGTGCCAACGCTGAAAGATTTCGACTTAACGCCATTTGCTTTGATGCAGCATCTGCTATCGACATATAACGACTGGGGGGGGGCATCGGTCGCGCATATCTGCACACATGCCAACAGCTCTCTGCGCAAGACCCAGTCAGGGGTCTTCTCCAGGTCTACCAAGCTCTTGTAAACTAGACAAGTGAACTTCAGTGATTTCAGAACAGTCTGGTGTTAGTAAAAGACCTGGCTAGTTCTAACACTGGTTCAGTCTGAGCGAAGCTGCACGCCTTTTCTCAAATCCTTAGGTCTGCCATTCCATTACATTTCCTTTAAAACACCTTGTTGTGAACTTTTCTTGAAAGGCTCGGTAAGATAATGTCTCGATAATTGGAGAATGCTTTGTGATCTTCCTTCTTGAACAGCCGTACTACCACCTCAGTTATCCAGTCCATTGAAGTCCCACGTATTCACCGCAGTTTGGCAGGCACGTGTAAGCCACAGCATCTCAGGACGGATTTTACTGACATGTGAATTCAACTCGCTTATCGAAATGATGGATTCTGTGGCTGGTAAATCGTTCACAGCACCACGTGCTTCATCCGGATCGGACTCTTGTTCTCTCTCTGTGATTAGGCGCACGCACATATAGAATGGCCAGAAGTTTCGTTGAACGGCCAAAGTGCGGGTAGTACAGATGGCAGCTGATTTGGAAAGCTTCCACCGGTAAAGGTTCAAAATTGCACAGTCCTGGTGCTTCGTTAATGAGTATCCAACTATTTTTAGTTGATATCTTGCGGTTTCGTCTAGTAGCTCTTACTCGTTCTATTTGATTACGGAGATGTTCCAATTTCTGCCTGTAAGCTCCCAATGTCGGCATCGTTGCCTTGAATTCTAAGTAACATATCATAATTGAATCGCACTGCCTGCTTCTTCTGTGCCGATCAAATAGTGATTGATTACCTGCTGATTGTTACCCTCCCCATCCTAGAAATAGACTTTTGGTAGTATTTGCCGTGTTGTTACGCCCCTTGCTGGTGGAAGATTTCGATAGCCGACTTTTATTAACGTCCATCAGTTCCCCAACATCCTCTGCGGCTTTTGGCAACCCAGACGACGACCGAGTCGGTGTAATGTTCAGTAACTGCGAAACAATGAGTTACAGGTGGCTAAGTGTTACGGTAGTCTTCGTCACAGGACCAAATCATGCTCCTTTCTCTTCCGGGCATGGGACTGACAATGGACGGCGGAGTAATGCATCTGCGTTTATAAAACGCTTCGCCTTGCCTTCGAACGACTGATGACGTGAGAAGGACTGGATGAGATGCTCTCGCTTAGGAGTCACTTCTCAAGATGAAGAAATTTGAATTTCAGAGTTTCCTCTTCAAATCAGAATTTTAGTTGTGTACCAGTCTTTGCAATAACCGCGTCTTAATTTTCGGCACAGAGGATACGGAGGACAAAAGATTTTTTACATGGCAAAAAAATGAAAAGCTTGTTCTCTCGTACCAATTTCGAAAGTGACAAAGTAGATTCCAATTATACAGACGCATGACGAGCCGTTAGGAGGTAGATCGAAGGCCGGTTTGGTTAAGTATGTTAAAATCCTGTCATAATCGTACCTTGACATCCATCCGACATGTGACATTTGACCGCCCGGCGAGAATTGCGCTCGTCGAAGAAACGAATCTGCTGCTGTAGCAGCGCGAAACTAATAAGGAGCTCTGAAAGTGGATCGATTAATGAAAACTTTTGAAGTTGGTTTTCTCCACGACAGTAGTCTGAATATGTTTTTATGATCTCAGGTACCATCAGGTCTTTACATAGATCAGCCTACGAGTCCGGATTTTCATTTTTTCCTGGGTACTTACACATTTTTAGACCTCATCAGATAATCACATGCTGCTAGAATAGTACATCAGTATGCGGTTTAAAGTTTTCGGGTTAGAGAATTGGAGAAGCGCTGCGCGTTCCTGTATTCTGAATTGCTGCTTAGCCTTCATGCGACGATTTGTCAAAATCTGATACAGAGAGACTTGTGAAACGAAAGCTGTCTCGAAGGTCAGCTATGATCGAAATGTTTCGATAAAAGAAGCATGGATATGCTGATTTGATAGGCATTCGTCGCAGTGGCGGATTTGTAGAGGATGTGCGGTGAGCGAACTGACCCAAGAGAGGATTTCGAGGTCGAAGAACAACAAACGAAGAAAAAATTATTAAATTCATTCAGACACGTTCAAAAATGCGTGTTCGAACTGATCCATAATAATCAAAACCGTTGCCACTGCCGCAATGTAAACAGCCGACAAACGTCCACCGTCTTTAATCGATTTCCAGTTCCGCTTTTTGAATTAATAACAAATTGTACGTGTGTGTTGATTGACCGTCTCAGATGGAATGGCGCTCGCCTAACGGCTTCCGTTCTCAGACCAGCAGTCGCTAATGGGTGTTCATCGTCCACCGACTGGTCTTGGCAGGCAAACGGCGGCACAAACGCAAAATCATTGAAGACGCCGTGGTTCGAGCTGCCTTTTCAGCCACCTCAGACAGCATGTAAAAAGAGGCATGCGGAGGAAACAGTTCATCTAAGTGTGAGGGAAACCAAAGTTCCAGCGGTTTCAAACTTTCCTTTTCTTGCTTTTTCCCTCTGGGAAACATAGGCAATTTTTTTGTGAGACTTGGAACCTTTCATGGGCTGCGAAACAAAGAGTCGCAGCAGAGTGTTAAAGCACAGAGAGTATAGGGGGCGCATCAACCTGCGTTGATGGCGAGCCCGCAACTGGGAAGCATGAATTTCCGTGAGCAAGGCAAGAGCTAAACTCA